AATTTAAAAGCTTATTATTATAATAATAGTAATCTTTTTAAAAGATTTCTTTTGAATTATACTAGTACTCTTTCTTTCACTCAGTTTTATTCCTTTGATTATACAAAGTTGATTTTTGATTTTTGGATTATAACATTATATTAATTTTTGATTTATTTAATATTGTTTTGAGAGTAGAAGATCTCTATTATAAATAAGTCACACTTTTTGTTTTATTTCTTTTATTATTTTTGAGAGTAGAAGATCTTTACTATAAATAAGTAATATACTTTTATTTATTTAGTTATTTAGTTTTCATACTTTAATTTTTACCTTTACTTTAGTTATAGCCTTTTTTAATTAATAGCTTACTATTTAATCAATTCAAATCTTGAATTATATTAATTACTAGTGGATTTACTCAATTAATCTTTATAATTTCTTTGATTTATTTATTTATTTATTTATTTTATTACCCTTTGTTAAGATAATATCTGTAAATATTGGTACAGACCTTAGAAATCTTTATTATTATTAAAAGTTATAGTTTAATTTCTCTCTCTTTGTCCTTTAATTATTTCAGTCTCTCCCAACCCTATATTATTAAGATAAATTAAAGTGAAATCTTACTTACTAATTTGTTATAATAATATCATATTAAATATACTGAATTAAATATTTATATAAGTTAATTTTGAATAAAAATTATTTAAAAATATTTTTAATAAGCAATTTTGAAAATAATTTTATGAAAATATATTTTAAGTTATAAAAAATATATTTAAAAAATTTTTATTTCATATATATAATAATAATTAAAAAATATATCAAATACTAAATTTATTAATAAAATATAGTAAAAATTAAAATTTTCTCTCTATATTAAAATTTATAGTTTTATTAAGAAATAATCTTTATTTTTATATCAAAATAAAATTTATTAATTATAATTTAATATATATTTTTTTCAGATTTTTTAGATTTTTTCTAAAAGAATTATTTTAATTATAAAATTAGTTTAAAAATTTTTATTAATTAAATTTTATTTTTAATTAGTAAAAATTTTTATATTAACTTTATAATTAGAATAATTCTTTCAGAAAAAATCTAAAAAATTTGAAAAAAATATATTTTAAACTATAACTAATAAATTTTATTTTGATATAAAAATAAAAATTATTTCTTAATAAAATTATAAATTTTAATATAAAAAGAAAATTTTTATTTTTATTATATTTTATTAATAAATTTAATTTCTAAATTATTACTTTTAATTATTACTATATTTAATAAATTTCAGTTAAAAAGAATTTATTTTAATAAATTTTATAATAAATTATAATTAAAATTAATTTTTTTATATTTTACTATTATTTCTTATAAAATTATTAAAATAAAATCTTTTTTAACTAATATTTATTAAATATATAATAAAAAATTTTTAAACTTATAATATATTTTTTTATTTTAAAAATAATCAAATATAAAATAAGTAATAATATAATTATAAATTATTTTTTATTATTATTATAATAATATAAAATTTCTTAATTTTATAATCTTTCTTTAATTATATAAAATTTTATTTTTCCTCTTTATTTGAAATTTATATTTTTAATTTATTTATCATACATAAAGATTCTTTTTAAATTTTTAATAAAATAATAAAATAATAAAATATTCATATATATCAATACATATTCATTAATATTAATATATTAAATATTTACATACATCAATATTTTAAATATCTTTCAATACCTTTCAATATCTATATTTTTAATATTATTATTTAAACTATTAATACTTTAATTTATAGTTTTTTATAATAATAATATATATATTTAGATAGTATTAACTAATAATACTATAATAATTTTTGTATTCAAAAAATATATAAAAGAATCTGTTATCCCAGCTTGAAATAAATAATTTTGAATTAAATTATTTGAAAAATATAATTAAAAAGCTTATTATTATAATAATAATAATCTTTTTAAAAAAGATTTCTTTTCTAATTATACTAGTACTCTTTCTCTTACTCAGTTTTATTTTTTTAATTATACAAAGTTAATTTTAATTTGAATTATAATATTATATTAATTTTTAATTTTTGATATTATTTTAAGAGTAGAAGATCTTTACTATAAATAAGCTATATCTTTATTTTATTTATTTTATTATTTTGAAAGTAGAAGATCTCTACTATAAATAAGTCATATCCTTTTTAATTAGTCATTTTATTATTTAATTTAGTTTTTATCTTTTTTTTAGTTATAGCTTTTTTTGATTAATAGTAGTTTTACTATTTAATCATTTTAAGTCTTGAATTATATTAATTATTAGTTATTTTACTAATTGATCTTTATAATTTTCTTGATTTATTTTATTCTTTTATTATTTAATTATTTCTTTATTAAAAATAATATTCATAAATATTGATATAGATCTTAAAAATCTTTGTTATTATTGAAAATATAATCTAATTTTCCTCTTTTTATTCTTTAATTATTTTAATTTCTACTAACTCTATATTACTAAGATAAATTCAAGTAAAAACTCACTTACTAATTCATTATAATATATAGTAATGATCAAAAATAATGCAACATTCAAATAAAAATTTTTAAATAAATATATTATCCTATAATTAAAAGTATCACAATTATTATTAGTATAATTAAATAATATAATCCTATAGTTTAAAATATTACCAATTCAAATAATTTTATTTAAATATTTTGTAATCATCAAATGTATTCAATTTTTGATATTACATTATATTTATTCTTTTTGAATAAAATAAAAAAATTGGTAAATAACCACCAAAATTCTAACTTTTTTATATTTTTTTTAAAAACTATTTATTTTCAATTTAGATTATCATCTTATATAGCCATCATGAATCTTTATTATATTAGCAATTCTTTTCAATATAGATTCAATAAAATAAATATATATCTCAATATCAATATCATTCTATATATCCTAAATTTTCTTTCATAAATTCTCTCTTTCTAAAATTAATCTCAAAAGATAACATAAATAATAATAAATGATATTTTATAAATGTTCAATAGGATTGAGATCTGGAAATTACAGTGACCAATTAAGAATATCAACTTCATTATCAACAAATTATTGATAGATTTTAATAATAATATATTTGGAATCATTATTCTATTAAAAAATAATATCATTTAATACATAACTAAAATCATTAATAATTTCTAAAAGATCTTCTGAAAGAATTTCTCTATATAACATGCTATTTATTCTGCTATTAATCTTATAAAGATTATTAATTCTATAAGTAATGAAGCAATGCTATATCATTATTTCTCTATCATCAAATTTAATAGTAGATTTAATATGAGTTTTTTAATAGTTTTCTCTTTCTTTTTTAATAATACTTGTATCTATCTAACTCAAAAATATTAAACTTTGACTTATCTGATTAGATTACTCTTGTTCAGTTTTTTTTAGTCCAATTTTTATACTTTTCTGTAAAATTAAGTTAGTATTTTTGGTATTCTTTTTTCAGATATAGCTTTTTATATTTTATCTTGATACTAATTTATAATTACTAAATATATAACAAATAGTAATTAGAAAAATATCTATATTTTCAGTTTTGTAAAAGTGATTTTGAACTTTAATAGTCATCAAGAAGAGAATAAGATTAATAATTTTTCATTTCAGTTTTTTATTTATCATATATGAATAATCAGATCTGCAAGTATCAATAAGAATATATTTCTTTTGCCATCTTTGCTTAATACAGATGATAATAAAATAAAGAAAGAAATAAATAAATCAAAAAATTATAAAGATTGACTGAGTGAAGTTACTAGTAATTGATATAATTCAAGATTTGAATTAATTAAATAGCAAGCTATTAATCAAAGAAGGCTATGCAAACTTTTTTAAGGAGTGAACTCATACCTTTACTTGTGAATTTTATTAAACAAGGAATTGCCTGTGAATTTCCATTTTTGGCTTTGAGATGTCTTTGTTTAATATGTACAAAATCTTGCGATACCTTAAGATTTAGGTCCCGAATTAATTCGTGTTTGATTATTCTTTTAAAGAAATATTGTGCGAACTTTCATGTGATTTTTTAGGTAGTAAACCCATACCTTTTCCTGTGAATTTTATTAAACAAAGACATCTCAAAGCAAAAAAGGAAATTCACAGGCAATGCCTTGTGAATTCCTTTTTTTGTTTAAAACATAATTGGTTCAATACTTTCAAACATAAAATAAGGATTAAAAAAAATCATCTCTTATTTCTATACATTAAAAGATAATCTCTTTCAAATTATCTCGGAAACTGAAATGTCTGCCATTTTGATAAAAATTTTAACAATAAAACAAGAAATCTATCAAATACTAAAGTACAACGCGAAATCGGAAATGAAACTCTTTGAAAAAGTAACGTACAACGAGACTATACCTCGAGTAACTGGTTTTTATTACGAAGCTAATAAGAAAAATATCACTGGTGTTTATGATGACGGCCAATACTTCGATCCATTAAGTACTAATTATAAAAGCAACGATGATTTGCGTTATATAAGTGGCGACCCTATAGAACCATTATTTCCAATAAGCGAAGGGGAAATTTTTTATCAAAAAATCGATAAGCGTAATGTCTCATCTGTATGGATTTATTGTTCTCAATGCAGTAAATATTTTTGGGTGGAATTTTAAATCATGCAATTCTTTTCAATCGTATGTACAGGCTTTGCCTGAATTTCCTTTTTAAGAATGTATTTTAAATGTGATCAAATCCATTTAATAAAATTTTTTGATCTCGTGATTTAATTTGTTATTATTTTTTTTGTTGCGGTCATCAGGTTCTATTAATTTGTTATTATTTTTTTTGTTGCGGTCATCAGGTTCTATTAATTTGTTATTATTTTTTTTTGTTGCGGTCATCCGGTTCTATTCTTTTATTTCGACATAATTAATGAAAATTTAATAACAGTCAAAAATTTGAGAATTATTTCGGAAAATATATTTTAAAGTGTGATTCAAATTATTTAGTGTAAAAAGGGGCCAAATAAAACCAAGTTGGTCAAAGCCGAATAATTTCATTTGGAACAAATGTTCGATTGAAGAAAGAACAATGCTATTGACATGAAAAAATGAGTTACCTGACAGCCGAACAATTACCCCAAAAGAATCACGAACTATAAAGCGATACGCGAACGATGAAAAATGCAAATATGCAAAAACAACCACTTGCTTTTTCTCAACCATACAGGTAACTCAAAAAGTTATTTGTCTTCAGGACACGTCGTAAATTAAGGTAACTCAAAAAGTTATTTGACCTCAGGACACAAAGTCGTAAATTTTTTTTCCAACAATTTTGTTTTTGTAGATCGTGTCAAATAGGTTAGTGTTTTTAAACAAAAAAAGAAATTCCCAAAATTCACATGATACACACATAATTGGTTCAATATGATGAATTCTTTCAAACACGATTAAAAAGGAAATTCACAGTCAAAAGCCATGATAATATTTTATCACATAAATCATACGTAATTGATAATCATGCGTAATTGATATATAAGCCTACCCAAAACCCACCGCTATAACACAAAACGACCACTACAACTCAAAACTACCACCACAATTCAAAAACACCTTACATTATGGTTAGACAAAATAAACGAAATAAACCAAATAAACAAAAAGAAGAAAATAAACGAAATAAACGAAAAGAAGAAAATGAAATCAAAGAATATGAAATCGAAGAAATAGTAAATCATCAAATACAGAATGTAAGTAAATGATTTCCCAACATCTGTATATTATTTTTGAATATTGACAGTTTCAAAATTTAGGGCAAATTGCGCTACCTTGTAAAATGGGTCGGTTATCCACCTTCAGAAAATTCATCAAATACAGAATGTAAGTAAATGATTTCCCAACATCTGTATATTATTTTTGAATATTGACAGTTTCAAAATTTAGGGCAAATTGCGCTACCTTGTAAAATGGGTCGGTTATCCACCTTCAGAAAATTCATTAGTTGATGAAGATGACGTGTAAGTTTGATGCATTGTTTTTTATTTGCATATGAATACTAACGAAATTGTTTTTTTTATTTAAAGTTTTGTGAAAGAGTTGGCTTAAAGTACGTAAACTAAATAACTAAACAAATAAAAGTGTATGGCTTATTTATAGTAGAGATCTTCTACTCTTAAAAACAATAAAAAAAATAAAACAAAAAGTGTGGCTTATTTATAGTAGAGGTCTTCTACTCTCAAAACAATATCAAAAATCAAAAATCAATATAATATTATAATCCAAAAATCAAAAATCAACTTTGTATGATCAAAGGAATAAAACTGAGTGAAAGAAAGAGTACTAGTATAATTCAAAAAGGAATCTTTTAAAAAGATTAATATTATTATGATAATAAGTTTTTAAATTATATTTTTCAAACAATTCAATTCAAAACTGTTTATTTCAAGCTGGGATAGCAGATTCTTTTATATATTTTTCAGATACAAAAATTATTATAGTATTACTAGCTAATACTATCTAATATACAA